CCCCAAAACCCCAAAACCCCAAAACCCCAAAACCCCAAAACCCCAGCAGTGAAAATCCATATTGAATGTTGTCAACTGATAGCTTAATGGGTCTAAATTCCGATGTATTTTGGAATTCCAGAACGGTACACTTTGGGCATGATGGTTGCTCCCATCTTAGTGAAAGTTGGTCTCCTCGGGGCCTCCCCGTTGTAATTAACCTTTATCATATCTGCAGTCATGCTGTTGCTTCCAAGGATGTCAGAGGTAAGGTATCCCTTGTTTCGTAAAGCCAAATAACTACTGTTAATCTTTGATTTCGAGTAGTTTTGATTTAACCCTGAATCGAAAGAGACATTTTTGTTCTTCATCCCGCTATAATAAGAAGAATCTGGACTCTTTAGAGCTGATTTCGGCTTAAAGTCGGAATTTGGAGAAAAGTTTGCATTTGTCTGAGAATTCTGTCTTCCAAACGATTTGTTCATTAATTTTCTCTGTTCTGGCACTTCGATGCTGTTTAAAAGTGGTTCTGAATTAGCAGGGATTGTCTCAATAACTTTTCTATCTGGCTTTTTGTTGTTCATTTTCATGAAATTTTGGAAGTGACTTTTGTTAGAGTTTCTAAACTGAGTACTCCCACTTGAATTTCTTATATCTATATTTTATTTTTCAAAAAATACTTTTGCTTGGAGATGGGATAGAATCATCAGTGTATTCTTTAGGTTGGAACTCCTTCTGAAGCATCTTGTATTTCGCATATTTAGCTAGATCTTTAACTAGCACTCCTCTGTCATTATCGACCTGATAAGTTCCTCCATTGACATAATCTGAGGCAAAGCCATGATATTCGCCTGGTTGCTGGCCAAAGATGGATAAGGCTTCCTTTCTGTCCACAAATAATCTAAAATTGAAACTAGTGAGCTTACTTTTTGCTCTTATGCTTAAATCTATTGGGGTAAGCACCTTCTATATCTCTAGTTTCAAAGTTTCTTCTAGCTTTGAAGTCACTTGATGTGTACTTTATGTCGTTATAAGCTGAACCCATGGTCGCATTTTTGTGCTGAGATTTGAACTTTTGGTAAAAGCTCCTATCTCTTGTGTTCGGGTCCTGAAAATTTGCTATTGTGTTAGGAGTGAGAAGGAATACGTGAATCTTGGTTCCTGAGTGAGTTGGAGGTGCCATAGAGGTCATGCGCTTCTGTGATTAAGAAATTAGATATCAAAAGTTATTTCTAGGGCTGGATTATGAGGATAAATTAGTATAACTGCCGGTGGGAAATAAAGTAGGTAGATAAATAAAATAATGGGAATTTGGGATCCTGGCTTACTTGTGTTCATTGGGTTCCGTTGGACAGACTGAGATCTTTGATGAATCTTGTTAGGATCTCTTAAATCAAGACTTCTATTATGCATGAGTCTACTCAAGCCCATATTTGTCTTTCTCTTTCCTTCACTACTCATATAATCTCTTAGCTTATTATAAAACTTCTTATCAGATCTTTCAATTTGATTAAGCTTGCTTATTTCTGAATTAGCGGCATATTTTTTTAGATCCCTTCCAATAACCGGTTTTCCCGTAATAGGGTTTATTGTGAGGTCTCTTTCATCTAAGACGTACTGCTCCATATTACTATTTTATGTAATAAAATAATTTTCCAACGATACTGCCAACATTGGGGTTTTGGGGTTTTGGGGTTTTGGGGTTTTGGGG